TTTTGAGAGAGATCTAATTAATTTAAAACGAAAGATGTTTTGAGATAAATGAATTCTGAATTATTTCATATAATAGCTCAATTAAAACAATTTAATTAATAAGTATTTAATATATATAATTTTCTCTCTTGTTATTTTCAAGATAATTATAAATTTATATAAATTTGATAAAAAAATATCTTTTTATATCCCCAACCTATTTTATGAATATTTGTTAATTAAAAATTCTTTATAAAATGATAAAAAATAATACAATTATGTATTTGGATTATTTGAGGGAGGGGATGCTATATAAGATAGTGAATATATTCTTTCTACAGTTAAATTACTGTGTATGGAAGAACTTGTCATAGACCTGGAGACTTTGAATTTAAGGAGATGGTATGGTTGAATTTAGTAATTAGGTAAAGAAGTTAATTATTCATTATTTTTTATTTCAAATATATCTCACTAAAATTAGGTTAATTCATAAAATTTTTGTAACAAATTTGTCTAATTTTTCATTATTCCAAAATACTCAACTCAATTAGTTATTTAAAAAAAATAAATCGATTCCAATTTGATAATTTTAATATTAATTTGATTTATATAACTAGTTTTATTAAACAAAATTAGACGTTATAGTTTTGTAAATTCTATTAGTATCATATATTAATATACTTGGATTTAATGAATAAGTAGCATATCAATTTTTCAATTTTAATTCCTTTAATTAATTTTTATTTATATTCCTCATATGGTATAATGAAACATCTTTCTAAAAATTTTTATATAATCTGATCAATATTTATACAAGCATCTTTCTCTTCTTCTTTTATAAAACAATCAGAATTATTTGCATAATAAGTAACATTCAATTAGTATGCTGACAATCTGAAGTTTAATAGAAAAAATGTCAAATATATTTTATTTATATAAGCACTAATAATTATGGGACACAAAATTTATAAAATGCATAATGATGAAGGAAATAAAATTGGAAGTTGGAATCTTTATGAAAAAAACCAAGAAATGTAAATATATATTCATTATTTATGTAGAGACGGAGGTAAATATAACCAAAATGGATATAAATTTAGAAAATGGACATAACTACACAACTTCTATCATAATGAGTATTTTTATTTCATTGAATTTTAGAATTTGAGAATAGCAACTAAGGATAAAAGATAGGTGAATGGAATATTTGGCATAAAAAAATAAAGGGAAGATAAAAATGTATTGATAATTTTCATATTATAGAGGTGGTGGTTGTTATGGGTATAATGGGAAGAAGATTGAAAGGTGGACCGAATTATATACATTTACACATAATTCAACATAAAGCAATCAAACTATTATAACTTATGAAGGGGAATATGATTAAAAGGGAGTTAGAATAAACAATGGAAAATTACTTCTTAGTAGATATAATATTGAGAGAATATTGATGGTGGAAAGTACAATTTAAACGGAATGAAGATTGGCTCATTATTTCCAAGTATGCCATGATCAATATCACAATAGAATATTTGGCAATCAATAATTAATTAAAAAAATTCATAACAAATCTAATAAATTTAACTTAAAAAACTCCTTACATCTTATAATATGCTACTACTTTATTATCTGAATTCTGTATTTAATTTCCAGTAGAATACCATTAATCTAAATAAAAAATATTGTATTTAAGAAATGTTTATTAAATTATTAATATGTATTAATTCGATATAATCCATAGTATTCCACAAACAAATAAAAATATGTTAATAGTCAATTAAATTTCTTTTTGGCTAATGCAGATCATTCAAATAAATAAATAATTTTACAAAATAGCAAAAGACTCAGAAAATCGCATTCTTTTTACTCTGATAATCTATATAGTCAAATAATAATGATGTTATGCTTTTTAATTATGTGAAGGTAGATTTTTAATTGACTAAGAAATTTAATTTGAAAATTCCTTCCTATGTATTGTATTAAGGAGCTCCTTTCAATAATAATAGTCTGTAGTTTAACTCCTAATCATTATTCTTTGGGAACTATTTATAATTGATTAGTTTACATCAAATTATTATCATAGAAAATGATTTAAAAACTAATATTTTTATGATACATTAATTCTTTTGATAATGCCATCAGTAAATAAAGTAGATAAATATGATAATTTATTATTGTATAAATGTTGATTCATTTAATCTATCATTCTAAATATGCAAAATTGAAAATTGTTATGGATAATTTGTATAGTAACTATTAATGTAATAAAATTTTAATGAGAAGTAGCATTATCTAAAAAAGTATACCATATATGGTTGGGTTTATTCTCTATAGAAATAAAATATAAAACATGATAGATAATATTTAGTTCATACGATTATTCGGGTTATAAAATTCCTAACTGAGTTATAAGAGTTCTTCATTTTAGGTATTTTCAAATCAAAACCTCCTTGTCCTCTGAAATTAGAACCTCTCAAAGTGATGTAATATCAATTCAAGATTTATTAAAAATTAAAAATGCATTTCAATTGCAATTTTATGAATGATAAAATTACAAAGTAAAATAGCCTTTTGATTACCATCTCTTCCAACCTATCCTTCACCAAAAATACACTAACCTATGATAAAGTGTGCATCAAAGAACAGTGTGTAATTCATTTATCAATACAAATGAGAAGGAATTTTATACCATAAATTTTATTTATTAAGGAGTAATTGCTGAAAAAAAATTTCTAAAAAATTCACTTTATATTTACTTCTTCCCTAAATATAGCCTAATTAATAGTTCAGACATATTTCATTTGTAACTCCTAATCTTTATAACTTTTTAAAAATTTATCGTTGGGTCTCATAAAATATTTTATTTCATTTTGAAATGGTTATGATAATCTTCATTTATTAAGCCAGAATTAATAAATACAGGTTTTAAATAACAACTACTGAGGATCAATTAAGGACAGTTTTGACTTTCTTTAATATTCACATTCAATTTGACTTCAGCAAGAGGTAAAACTCTTGTATAATAAATTATTCAAAATTTTGTATTCATAACAGCTTCCTAAATGAGGTCTATCTAACAAAATGGAAGCTAGCTTTTAACTTTAACTCATCTGTTAGATTATCTTTATTTTAGTAGCTATAATTTGCCTTCTAAATATTTCATAAACTAATTAAAAATCTCTACGATTTATTATTTCTTTTTTAC